CAGGGAAAGGCCAGATCACACTGCACCGGCTGGGCATGGGGCACCAGCCACGGTGGGTAATTGAGAGTGGGGGGAGAGGGTGGGTAGTAATTGGAGATGCAGTGAATAGCAGGGTAGAATGTTAAGTGTTAGCCATTGTATGGATACGATGTTTTTGGTATGGTAAGCTTTTATTTGCAGAAGGATTACCTCAAAGAGATCACAAGTTTGTGGTTTGCTGGACAACAACAGGCAACAGGTAAGGATAGTAAATGTGGAATTGGTGTTTCAGAGTCAAACAGTCTCCATGCTTCAGTTTAAACAGACATTGTAAAACTGAAATCCACAGAACCGGTATTTGATGTCTTGTGTGACTGTGAAGATGTGATTAAATCCATCCCTGCAGTGAGTGAGACATGTTGCGTGAGCTACAGAGATGAGAGCGTCTTATCCTGTCTCAGTTACTGACACACTGCTGGGTTGGTGCTTGAAGCTCTCTCTCTTTCTGCTTCTTTCATCTCCTCATCCTCTTCCCTCCTCTTCTCCAACTCCCACACACCCTGACCTCCAGGGGCTATCTCTCTGACAGCGTTCCCAGGAAACACCACATGAGACTGGGGTCCGGAGGCGGTAGGCAGGGTCCTTAGCCTGGGGGTCAGCTCTCCGCAGGGCTCAGGGCTTCAGCCCTGCTTCAGTAAGGTAGGCTCAGCCTAGAATCAGCTAAGACAATGACCAAAGCTGTTTTAGCCCAGGGAGAGGGGGATTTTGGAGGGGAGAGGGAGATTTTGGAGGAGAGAGGGGTGGGGGTTTTGCTCAGTTGACAATTAAAAGAAACTGCAACACACAAACTAAGGGAACACACAGGAGCGGCTGTGAGTGTGTGAGTCAAGGTTTGTGTGTGTGTGTGTGTGTGTGTGATTGGCACACAATGCAGATGTGTGGGCAGTAGGTGCCATCTGGAGAAAGCGGAGTGGGATGAGGAGGGAGGAGGAAGGGTGGGATGCCACTTTAGAAAAAGTGCCTTATCGTTTGATGAGAGGATAAAGGAAATTATCAGAGTGTAATCAATCAAAAAACCTGTGACACAAATGAACGAAGACAAGAAATGTGCCCCCGCTCTCTCACCCCCTCCTTCCCCCACCTTGTCTCAGTGGCAGCCCTGCCTGTACGTCAATAGGCCCCTTCGTTAGCAGGAATTCGCAACTTCGCCACCATTGGTTGAGCTTGTGAAAAGTGTTCCATTAGTAGTCCGGGTTTTATGGTTGCGTGGCTTGTTGTCAGGGGAAAATGGAAAACCGCCATTCAGGTCGTGACGGGTATTGGACAATCAATGTTGGAACTTAGTAAGTGGCCAATCTTGAGGAACGCCAGATGCTACACCGAGTTCATGTGGATAGAGATGTTTTCACTGGAGCAACCATACCCCCACAAGACGCAGAATGGCCTCCCAGGAGACCCCCCGACCCCCCCCCACCATAAGGCCAATATTCACCCCTCCACCCTTCTACTCCATCCATATCCAACACAGTCACCTTCCTTCCCTCTGATCTAATGTAATTTCCTTGATTAGTCCAAGAGCAGGCCTCAATAGCAGCCCTTACTGCCTGGTATTGGAAAAAACACGAGTTCCTCTCACGAGACTGGCATCCATGAGGGAAATCAAAGCTACTGGACCTATCTAAACACAGGGGACAAAGACTGCTCTATACAGAATGAGATCACCCACAATGAAAACACTCATGAGCGATCCGTAACTGCCATTCTAAACTTTATGGAAATCTGAGGGTGGTATTAGCCTATAGTTACAAAAGCTGAGAATATTGTTTCAAAACAAGTCAGACTACTGCATAAATGAGTCATTTAATGAACAACTAGTGGGATTGATGAACAGGATATGCCTGCCAGTGCTTTGTTCTTAAATCTTTCCCAAAAAGTTAAATAAATGATGATATAGGCCTAATAACCTAGGTGAGGGTAGGAAAGTGATGATGTACTGTATATAGCCCTATAGTTCAATCATAGTCTATGGTGCCAGGCCAGCTATTTTGATGATTCACTTTAATTTCTTCTTCCCATTCTGAGTTGGTATAGTTACGCCTACAGTCGTGGTCAAAAGTTTTGAGAATGACACAAGTATTGGTCTTCACAAAGTTCGCTGCTTCAGTGTTATGAGATATTTTTGTCAGATGTTACTATGGTATACTGAAGTATAATTACAAGCATTCCACAAGTGTCAAAGGCTTTTATTGACAATTACATTAAGTTTATGCAAAGAGTCAATATTTGCAGTGTTGACCCTTCTTTTTCAAGACCTCTGCAATCCGCCCTGGCATGCTGTCAATCAACTTCTGGGCCACATCCTGACTGATGGCAGCCCATTGTTGCATAATCAATGCTTGGAGTTTGTCCGAATTTGTGGGTTTTTGTTTGTCCACCCGCCTCTTGAGGATTGACCACAAGTTCTCAATGGGATTAAGGTCTGGGGAGTTTCCTGGCCATGGACCCAAAATGTCGATGTTTTGTTCCCCGAGCCACTTAGTTATCACTTTTGCCTTATGGCAAGGTGCTCCATCATGCTGGAAAAGGCATTGTTCGTCACCAAACTGTTCTTGGACAGTTGGGAGAAGTTGCTCTCAGAGGATGTGTTGGTACCATTCTTTATTCATGGCTGTGTTCTTAGGAAATATTGTGAGTGAGCCCACTCCCTTGGCTGACAAGCAACCCCACACATGAATGGTCTCAGGATGCTTTACTGTTGGCATGACACAGGACTGATGGTAGCGCTCACCTTGTCTTCTCCGGACAAGGTGTTTTCCGGATGCCCCAAACAATCGGAAAGGGGATTCATCAGAGAAAATGACTTTACCCCAGTCCTCAGCAGTCCAATCCCTGTACCTTTTGCAGAATATTAGTCTGTCCCTGATGTTTTTCCTGGAGAGAAGTGGCTTCTTTGCTGCCCTTCTTGACACCAGGCCATCTTCCAAAAGTATTTGCCTCACTGTGGTTTCAGATGCATTCACACCTGCCTGCTGCCATTTCTGAGCAAGCTCTGCACTGGTGGTGCCCCGATCCCGCAGCTGAATCAACTTTAGGAGACGGTCCTGGCGCTTGCTGGACTTTCTTGAAGCCCTTTTTGTGCAAAGCAAAACGACGGCACGTGTTTCCTTGCAGGTAACCATGGTTAACAGAAGAAGAACAATGATTTCAAGCACCACCCTCCTTTTAAAGCTTCCAGTCTGTTATTCTAACTCAATCAGCATGACAGAGTGATCTCCAGCCTTGTCCTCGTCAACACTCTCACCTGTGTTAACGAGAGAATCACTGACATGATGGCAGCTGGTCCTTTTGTGGCAGGGCTAAAATGCAGTGGAAATGTTTTTTGGGGATTAAGTTCATTTTCATGGCAAAGAGGCACTTTGCAATTAATTGCAATTCATCTGATCACTCTTCATGACATTCTGGAGTATATGAAAATTGCCATCATCAAAACTGAGGCAGCAGACTTTGTGAAAATTAGTATTTGTGTCATTCTCAAAACTTTTAACCATGACTGTACATGGAGAGTGTGGTTTAGGCATTAGCCAGACTACCTACTAAACTGGTTGCATAGGCAGGTATAGCCTACTGTTTACAAATCCAAGTGGGATTTTAAGCACTTACAAATTCGTAACATATTGTACGAATTGCAAATTTTTGAGGCAGGAAACGTATCATACGAAACGGATGACATAGTACACAATTGTGCAACATTTTCGGGGACCATTTTGGCTGTACTACTTTAAAACTACTGGCTTAAATTATACAAAACCTCTGTAGCATCACTTTAAATGAAAGAGGCATGATGAGGAAGAACTATGGGTAACCTGCTGGCCCTTTGTGTATGTATTAGTAACTGTGTGAGGTGATGCGAGAACTACCCACCTATCCCATGACGATGGCACTCTGTGGCTCACTGAAGCCTGCCTGGAGGCTGCAAAACTTGGCTCATCCGCGGGAGCATGGAGAAAGATCCAGCCTGCGTAGGGAGGGTGAAGGGAGGGAGGGTGAAGAAAACGTGTAAATAGACAGACAGACAGGCTAAACCAAAAGGGTGCACACATGGGATTTTTCAAAACCGAATAATGCCTTCATTGTTTGAGGAAGAACCCAAAGGAAAACATTAGGCTACTCTTAGCGATTTATTTCTATACCTTTCATAGTCTGCAGACCTTTAGGCGTTAACTGTTATTAGAATGTTTGTTATCACAACTCAGGGATGGAACCCCAGATGTATCAGCCCAACACACCTTAATTCCAATACAACCTTGATCAAATGCTTTTAGAATAACGACTATAATCCAATAACACGGGATTCGTGCCCATCATTCATCACAGAATTGTTATGATCAATTTCCCAAAGTGGGATTTCGTGTTATGCTATCGGGTCTGTATCTATTGGATTATGGAACATCTGTGATTGTATCCGCTAGGTGGCGACATTGGTCTAAAGTGTTTCATCTTGGACAGCGCTGCGCATCACTGGAGACGACATTCATGTAGGGATCACAACGCGGTCCCAATGACGAGTAGGCGGATAATTCACGTTATGAGAAGAATGACAACTATCTGCCTACACATGACAACGACTAGTCCGAAGAAATAATTAAGATTTTTTAGGATTCTTTGAGCAAAGCACTTTTGAGACACTGGTGCTATAGCCTAGATCTAACAATGTATACCAATATTTAAAAATTCAGAAACTTGGACAGAAGTCATGAAACGTTATTGGGAATTGCATGTGCATTATTAATAACAATGTAACAACATTATCTTGGAAGTTTATTGGTTCTCTTTAACAAGAACAATAGTGGTGTCCGCATGAAAGAAATGCACTAAATATTACAGTAACAACTGGCCCTTTACACAGTCCCATTTTTGGCCAAGTGTCCACTCATGGCTGAGGGGTAGGGGGACAGTTAATGATTATTTGCCCCTGTTTTCCCGTCCGCTGCGTTTCCTATTTGGATTGACTGCCGCGTCAGAGCGCGCAGCCCCGCCTCCCGGCTGTTTTCGGAGCGTCGCTCTATCCCTGCTTCAAACGCATATTCCACAGGGAGAGAGAGAGAGCAAGAACTGTGAGGAGCAGAACGAACGACGAGAAAAAAGGCGAACGACAAATGGCACTCATGGCTGGGATTTTGTTTACGTTGACCTCTGTGCTGCTTGGGATTTCTACGTTTGTTTCTTCGGCACGGATTTACCCCCCAAATGAAGGTAAGACTTGGAATAACAGCGGAGCCCCGTCTTTGACTTGTTCTCGGTTAGTTTATACACAGTCCACTTCGTGTGTGAGACGGACCAGGAGTCCGTTGTCCCGTAGCTATTCTGGACTCGTGCAAGGACCTGCAGCACTCAAAGAAGGGGGCAACACTATTAATTTGCTCAACAACATGCATTCTCTGACATTGGATTTCCATATGCGTCAAACCCATCAAAGGTTTTGTTTCGTAGGCTACTAGGTCCTTTTGCTACCCAAATTGTTGAAAGCTCTTGGCAGAAAGCCGGAGCGTATGATGTCTATATGGGGCTCTAGCAGGGTCCGAGTGGAGTGCTGGGAAGTCTTACTTCACAGTCTCTGTTAATTAGGCAACAGTCACCTTATTCAACAAAATTAGTTTTTTCTTGAGCCATATAGGCTACAAAGACTCGATTTTATACAGCAATCATTATTGCTTTGGCGGACATGTCTGTGTCTGGTTTTGTGCAAGGCCGTTGTGCAAAAGCCCCCGTTATAAAATGAGCCATGTTATTTTAGTTCATAACCATTCAATTATGAAGTGGCTCTTGCGCATTTTCTATGTCAAACGCATTAACTTCAAAACAATAAACAATACTCAAATAATTACCTAAGCCAAGTAATTTCAGATAAATGCTAACATCTTAAATGAAATCCACTTTTTTTGGTTAAATTCAATGCGTATTTCAGCGCTTAAAATTGTGATTTTCATCACTGCGCACGGAGAGGATTGCAGTAAGAAAGATAAGGGGCTATTGAAATCTCACCACGGATTATTTTTGATTTCACACTGAAGCAAATTAATTTAGCTCCTCTAATTTACATCGATTGATCATCAGCGAACCTCAGGACCCGAGTTAAAACAGACAAACGGAGTCTCCAATATCTAGGCCTATTTATTATAATAATAATAATATGCCATTTAGCAGACGCTTTTATCCAAAGCGACTTCCAGTCATGTGTGCATACATTTTTACGTATGGGTGGTCCCAGGTATCGAACCCACTACCCTGGCGTTACAAGCGCCATGCTCTACCAATTGAGCTACAGAGGACCAAACATCCAGAGTTTCACTCACTAGGTTACAATGACAATACCCATTGTTCTTTATACAAAATATCAAATCCCCGTAAAATGGGGTCCCTTTGTGTTTTTAATCACAAATCCCCTTGAAAAAATATATCCAAATTACGCATTTGAGTAATGCAAACATATTACATAGTTTATGGAGTTATATGCGTGGACAATGGCCTATAGATACGTCGTTACACATTGATCATTAGCCTATTTCTGATTGGTTTTTCGTTGAGCAGATTGCACATAATTGTTTTCCTCGATCAAGCTGCATAACTATCCAACTATGGTAACATAACAGCACGGTGGCTTTTCCAAACGGTATATTAGCACTGTAGGTGCTATAGGAAAAGGTTACATATCATCAGTGTTATGAACAGCCTATAACTGCTCACTTCTCTTTCTATGTGTTTCAGTGACGTTACTGGACTCCAGATCCGTAGCGGGAGAGTTGGGCTGGGTCGCCAACCCAACAGAAGGAGGGGTAAGTGCCCCTCGTTAGGACGCGAGTCACCCATTGAGTCAAAATGGAGAGATGCTGTCCTCTATAGCCTACCGGCCCCCTCCCTCCTTCTCTCCCTCTACTTGCCATAATCGTCAGATTCGAGTCCGATACTGTAGCGGGCGTCGGGTTTCCTGAATAGATGGCGGATTGAATCGATCTTTGTGGAGAAACTTTATATTATTTTCCCACATTGAGGCGCGGGGGAGAGGAACTTGGCAGCACAGAAAGGGCCATTTGGAATGGATGAATGAAGGGAAAGGGCAGCGGGTTTCAGTCCTCGCCGTAGGATTGGATTGGGCCATAAAGCGATAGGGAATGTGATCGGAGTAAATGCGTGATCCCGCGGTCTAATTGGGATATATATAGTTGCGCTGATCATGTACAGAGTGCGACTGGGGCCTGTCTGGCACACACTCCCCTGTCAGTTGTTCCCTGAGCCGAAGCAGCAGCACTGGCGTCTGAACAATTGCACGGAACCATCTTCTAGTTTTAGACTAAACCAACAAGGTGGCCCAAAGTAGAGCAGCATATGCTATTTACATTGACATTTTAGTCATTTAACAGACGCTCTTATGCAGAGAGACTTACAGTTAGTGAGTGCATACATTTTTCATACTGGCCCCCCGTGGGAAACGAACCCACAACCCTGGCGTTGCAAGCGCCATGCTCTACCAACTGAGCTACAGGACAGCTATCTAAGAGGAATTACATTCTTCTTTCTTTTCATACATCTTCTGGCATATCCATTATATTTTAGTGATACTGTTTATGGTATGCTATAGACCCATAAAAAAACGTTGACCTTTTGTCTCAGCCCCGCATCTCCAACTCTTGTTTTATTCACCATTGGGTTGAGTTGTTGCTCAATGAACTTGGCTCGTGTGTGCTTCTGTTCGTTGCAGTCTGTTCCTCCTTCAGCCGTTTCCTCCGAGGCGGAGTGATTGACAGGGTGCTGGCAGCGCCGACAGGCCTGCGTTCACCTCATTACGACCAATTACCCCCATTCTCCCTCTCCTCCGCTATCGGGGAAAGGTGCGGCCTTATCTGCAACGCCGGTTGATTTCCACGATAAAGGGCCAAGCAGAGTGAAGAAAGCGGTGGAATAGAGCAGCGGAGGTTACGGACACTCTCAAATCGGAGCCTCAGCCATGTTTAGCGTTATCTCCCCTACTCAAAGGAATAGGGTTTTGAACGAGATTATTTATGATAACACGTTGAATCAAATTCAGCACAGGATACATCCTTTCCCGTAGTAATAGCTCTGTTTGGACTTCTTTCTCTAAATTGTATATAGTCCTAACCAGATACAAGCAGAAGGCTGGCTTGTCTGCTCTTGTTTTTAAATGCAATACATTCTTAATCCATTTTTAAACCATATTATGAAAAATGTAAAGGCCCAGTACAGTGAAAAACGTGATTTTCCTGTGTTTTTATATATATATTTCCACACTATGAGGTCAAATAATACTGTGAAATTGTGAAAATGACAATAATGCCCTTTTATTGTAAGAACTGTTTGAAAAGACTGCCTGAAATTTCAGCCTCTTTTGGTGGGATGGAGTTTTGGCCTGCCTGTTCACATCACAAGGCGTTAAATTAGTTTAATAGACCAATAAGAAAGAGATTTCCAAACCTCTCTGCCAATAAACAGCTAGTTTTCAGTTTTCCCCTCCCCACTCAGACCACTCCCAGACAGTCCTAGCAAAATTCTTGCTTGAGAAATTGTTCTTTGCTAAGAAGCTATTTTTGTTTCTTTTTGACCATTTACAATTGAAAACAATCACAGTAAGGTACTTAATTGTTACAGAGAAAGGATTCGATATTGAGATAAAAACAGCTGCATTGGACATTTAAGAGCATGGCATAATGAGCCCAATGCCTTTCAAAACGCAATATACCCTATGCTCTTTAGTAGCGGGGACTTTATCATAAGTAAAACAAACATTGCTCCTATAAAAATAAGCCAGCCAGTCGTCGATAATGTAATCCATACACCCGATCCACATGTGTGCTGTCAAAACCCTCTCACTCTCCAAAATAATTTGTAGGCCTACAGAAAGAACACAGACACACTTTTCTATTGGGTTTCTATTCTAATCATTTGGGTTTCTATTCTAATCACTATAAGCCATTACAGACGTAGGGCCTATAGATTAGCTCATACGTAAGATTGTTTCAATACCCCCTTCTCTTTCTCTTCGCACTCTCTCTGTATTACTCTTCATTTGGTGACCTTTAAATTAATCATGGAGTTATGGGGATTTATATTGAGGCATTCAATTTGACATTAAAACAATAATTTGAATGGTGCATGTTCCCCAAAGATTTGGTTGGTCTCCTTTTATGTGGAGATAAAAGGTACTAGTCAGGAATGAACACAGTACAGTAGGCCTATGTCTACTTACCAGTAGTAGTTTCATTATAACAGGCCGTACTATTTATATTAGGCCTTGTCATGCATTTATTATTCATTAATTGACAAGTTAGGCCATTAAATAATTGGCCTACTGAGACACAGATATTGAGTCACTATTTTGTAATGGTCTTTCTCAATGTATGTCTGCAAGTCAATGTTTTTATGTGGCTTACCATTTTTCAGATTTTTCTAATGTTGACATAATGTTTGTCAGATGTTTTCCTAACATTGTCTCTGTGTCTCTCCTCAGTGGGAGGAGGTGAGCATCATGGATGAGAAGAACATTCCCATCAGGACGTACCAGGTGTGTAATGTGATGGAACCCAACCAGAACAATTGGCTTAGAACCGACTGGATTCCTCGGGGTGGCGCCCAGCGCGTCTACATCGAGATCAAGTTCACCCTGCGCGACTGTAACAGCCTCCCTGGTGTCATGGGAACCTGCAAGGAGACGTTCAACCTCTACTACTACGAGTCCAACAACGACAAGGAGCGCTACATCCGAGAGAACCAGTTTGGCAAGATCGACACGGTGGCGGCAGACGAGAGCTTCACCCAGGTGGACATCGGAGATCGCATCATGAAGCTGAACACGGAGGTCAGGGACGTGGGAGCCTTATCCCGGAAGGGTTTCTACCTGGCCTTCCAGGACGTGGGAGCCTGCATCGCCCTGGTGTCTGTCAGGGTGTTCTATAAGAAGTGTCCCCTGGCTGTGAGGAACCTGGCCCAGTTCCCTGACACCATCACCGGGGCCGATACCTCCTCACTGGTGGAAGTCCGAGGATCCTGCGTGGATAATTCAGAGGAGCGTGACGTTCCCAAAATGTACTGCGGGGCGGACGGAGAGTGGCTGGTGCCTATCGGGAACTGCCTGTGTAACCCGGGATTCGAGGAGAGGAACGCTGAATGCCAGGGTAAGTTAAGGAGAGAAATTTTCGGTCTGCCTCAGATACACTACAGGTCAAAAGTTTGGACACACCTGCTCATTCAAGAGTTTTTCTTTATTTTTACTGTTTTTTACATTGTAGAATAATAGTGAAGACATCAAAACTATGAAATAACACAAATGGAATCATGTAGTAACCAAAAAAGTGTTAAACAAATCCAAATCCAAATATATTTTATATTTGAGATTCTTCAAATAGCCACCCTTTGCCTTGATGACAGCTTTGCACACTCTTGGCATTCTCTCAACCAGCTTCATGAGGTAGTCACCTGGAATGCATTTCAATTCACAGATATGCCTTCTTAAAAGTTAATTTGTGGAATTTCTTTCCTTCTTAATGCGTTTGAGCCAATCAGTTGTGTTGTGACAAGGTAGGGGGGGTATACAGAAGATAGCCCTATTTGGTAAAAGACCAAGTCCATATTATGGCAAGAACAGCAAAGAGAATAAGCAAAGAGAAACGACAGTCCATCATTACTTTAAGACATGAAGGTCAGTCAATACGGAAAATTTCAAGAACTTTGAAAGTTTCTTCAAGTGCAGTCGCAAAAACCATCAAGCGCAATGATGAAACTGGCTCTCATGAGGACCGCCACAGGAATGGAAGACCCAGAGTTACCTCTGCTGCGGAGGATAAGTTCATTAGAGTTACCAGCCTCAGAAATTGCAGCCCAAATAAATGCTTTACAGAGTTCAAGTCACAGACACATCTCAACATCAACTGTTCAGAGGGGACTGTGTGAATCAGGCGTTCATGGTTGAATTGCTGCAAAGAAACCACTACTAAAGGACACCAATAAGAAGAAGAGACCTGCTTGGGCCAAGAAACACGAGCAATGGACATTAGACCGGTGGAAAGTTGTCCTTTGGTCTGGAGTCTAAATTGGAGATTTTTGGTTCCAACCGCCGTGTCTTTGTGAGACGCGGTGTGGGTGAACGGATGATCTCTGCATGTGTAGTTTCCACTGTAAAGCATAGAGGAGGAGGTGTTATGGTGTTTGCTGGTGACACTGTCTGTGAGTTATTTAGAATTCAAGGCACACTTAACCAGCATGGCTACCACAGCATTCTGCAGCCATACGCCATCCCATCTGGTTTGGGCTTAGTGGGACTATCATTTGTTTTTCAACAGGACAATGACCCAACACACCTCCAGGCTGTGTAAGGGCTATTTTACCAAGAAGGAGCGTGATGGAGTACTGCATCAGGTGACCTGGCCGCCACAATCCCCTCGACCTCAACCCAATTGAGATGGTTTAGGATGAGTCGGACGGCAGAGTAAAGGAAAAGCAGCCAACAAGTGCTCAGCGTATGTGGGAACTCCTTCAAGGCTGTTGGAAAAGCATTCCAGGTGAAGCTGGTTGAGAGAATGCCAAGAGTGTGCAAAGCTGTCATCAAGGCAAAGGGTGGCTATTTTAAGAATCTCAAATATAACACTTTTTTGGTTACTACATGATTCCAAATGTGTTTTTTCATAGTTTTGATGTCGTCACTATTATTCTACAATGTAGAAAATAGTAAAAATAAAGAAAAACCCTTGAATGAGTAGGTGTGTCCAAACTTATGACTGGTACTGTATACAGTTGAAGTCGGAAGTTTACATACACTTAGGTTGGAGTCATTAAAACTTGTTTTTCAACCACTACACACATTTCTTGTTGACAAACTATAGCTTTGGCAAGTCGGTTAGGACATCTACTTTGTGCATGACACAAGTCATTTTTCCAACAATTGTTTACTGACAGATTATTTCACTTATAATTCACTGTATCACAATTCCAGTGGGTCAGAAGTTTACATACACTAAGTTGACTGTGCCTTTTAAACGGCTTGGAAAATTCCAGAAAATGATTGCTTTAGAAGCTTCTGATAGGCTAATTACATTTACATTTTAGTCATTTAGCAGACACTCTTATCCAGAGCGATTTACAGGAGCAATTAGGATTAAGTGCCTTGCTCTAGGGCACATCGACAGATTTTTCATCTAGTCGGCTCGGGGATTAGAACCAGCAACCTTTCAGTTACTGGCACAACGCTCTTAACCACTAAGCTTCCTGCCGCCCCAGGTAATTGATATCATTTGAGTCAATTGGAGGTGTACCTGTGGCTGTATTTCAAGGCCTACCTTCAAACTCTGTGCCTCTTTGCTTGACATCTTGGGAAAATCAAAAGAAATCAGCCAAGACCTAAGGAAAAATTTTTGTAGACCTCCACAAGTCTGGTTCATCCTTGGGAGCAATTTCCAAATGCCTGAAGATAGCACGTTCATCTGTACAAACAATAGTACGTAAGTACAAACACCATGGAACCACGCAGCCGTCATACCGCTCAGGAAGGAGACGTGTTCTGTCTCCTAGAGATGAACGTACTTTGGTGCGAAAAGTGCAAATCAATCCGAGACCATGTGAAAATGCTGGAGGAAACAGGTACAAAGTATCTATATCCGCAGTAAAACAAGTCCTATATTGACATAACCTGAAAGGCCGCTTAGCAAGGAAGAAGCTACTGCCCCAAAACCGCCATAAAAAAGCAACTGCACATGGGGACAAAGGTCATACTTTTTGGAGAAATGTCCTCTGGTCTGATGAAACAAAAATAGAACTGTTTGGCCATAATGACCATTGTTATGTTGTGAGGAAAAAGGGGGACTTGCAAGCTGAAGAACACCGTTCCAACCGTGAAGCACGGGGGTGGCTGCATCATGCTGTGGGGGTGCTTTGCTGCAGGAGGGACTGGTGCACTTCACAAAATAGATGGCATCACGAGGAAGGAAAATTATGTGGATATATTGAAGCAACATCTCAAGACATCAGTCAGGAAGTTAAAGCTTGGGTCTTCCAAATGGACAATGACCCCAAGCATACTTCCAAAGTTGTGGCAAAATGGCTTAAGGACAACAAAGTCAAGGTATTGGAGTGGCCATCACAAAGCCCTGACCTCATTCCTATAGAACATTTGTGGGCAGAACTGAAAAAGTGTGTGCAAGCAAGGAGGCCTACAAACCTGACTCAGTTACACCAGCTCTGTCAGGAGGGCCAAAATTCACCCAACTTATTGTGGGAAGCTTGTGGAAGGCTACCCGAAATGTTTGACCCAAGTTAAACAATTTAAAGGCAATGCTACCAAATACTAATTGAGTGTATGTAAACTTCTGACCCACTGGGAATGTGATGAAATAAATAAAAGCTGAAATAAATCATTCTCTCTACTATTATTCTGACATTTCACATTCTTAAAATAAAGTGGTGATCCTAACTGACTTAAGACAGGGAATTCTTACTATGATTAAATGTCAGGAATTGTGAAAAACTGAGTTTAAATGTATTTGGCTAAGGTGTATGTAAACTTCCGACTTCAACTGTATATATTCCTCTTGCCGCGGGCAGCTGCTGTTCCGCGTGGTTACTTTTACTCTTCTCTATCTTTCTCTCTTCATTCACCTTCCGTCTCTATCTCCATACAGTAGCCTCCTTCTTTACCATATATCCCTCCTCTCTCTCCGTTTGTCTCTTTGTCTCACTCCTCTATTCACCAACCTTTCTCTCTGTTGCTTGTTGTCTCTCTCTCCTCCTCCCCTCCCTGCGTCTCTCCTACATGGTATCAGGCTGGGTAATAGAAGCAGTGATGATTGTAAATTGCGTAATTATCCAGTCCATTGGGATGTGTTAGTTAGGCCAGGGGAACAGGCCTGCTATTGGGATGTGTTAGTTAGGCCAGAGGAACAGGCCTGCTATTGGGATGTGTTAGTTAGGCCAGGGGAACAGGCCTGCTATTGGGATGTGTTAGTTAGGCCAGGGGAACAGGCCTGCTATTGGGATGTGTTAGTTAGGCCAGAGGAACAGGCCTGCTATTGGGATGTGTTAGTTAGGCCAGGGGAACAGGCCTGCTATTGGGATGTGTTAGTTAGGCCAGAGGAACAGGCCTGCTATTGGGATGTGTTAGTTAGGCCAGGGGAACAGGCCTGCTATTGGGATGTGTTAGTTAGGCCAGAGGAACAGGCCTTCTATTGGGATGTGTTAGTTAGGCCAGAGGAACAGGCCTGCTATTGGGATGTGTTAGTTAGGCCAGAGGAACAGGCCTGCTATTGGGATGTGTTAGTTAGGCCAGAGGAACAGGCCTGCTATTGGGATGTGTTAGTTAGGCCAGAGGAACAGGCCTGCCGGTCTGTCGTGTGACTCTGCTGGATAAATGGCTCAGGAGAGATCAGTCTAAATAGATTCCAGTAGCTCCCAGTCTCTCTTTCTCCTCCCAGCCCCAATCCCAGCCAGATGATTCCCAGTCTCTCCCAGTCTCTCTCTCTCCTCCACAACACAATCCACCCCACCCCAACCCACCCCACCCCACCACCAGCCCCAATCCCAGCCAGATGATTCCCAGTCTCTCTGAGTCTCTCTCTCTCCTCCCAGCTCCAATCCCAGGCAGATGATTCCCAGTCTCTCTCTCTCTCCTCCCCTCCCCACCAGCCCCAATCCCAGCCAGATGACTCCCAGTATCTCTCTCTCTCTCTCTCTCTCTCTCTCTCTCTCTCTCTCTCTCTCTCTCTCTCTCTCTCTCTCTAAAAATAAAAAATAAAAAATCTCTCTCTCTCTCTCTCTCTTCCCCACCCCACCCCAGCCCCAATCCCAGCCAAGATGATTCCCAGTCTCTCTCTCTCTCCTCCCCACCCCATCACCAGCCCCAATCCCAGCCAGATGATTCCCAGTCTCTCTCTCTCTCCTCCCCACCCCACCCCACCCCACTCACAGCCAGATGATTCCCAGTCTCTCTCTCTCTCTCCTCCCCACCCCACCCCAGCCCCAATCCCAGCCAGATGATTCTCAGTCTTTGAAATTATCTGCCCGTGGCCCTCTATAGATTGGAGTCTCTCTCTCTCTCCTCTCTCTCTCTCTCTCTCTCCTCTCTCTCTCTCTCTCCTCTCTCTCTCTCTC